ACCTTTGAGGAATTTTTAAAAAATAAACCATACTATTACAAATACTAATGATGATGATGATGATGATGATGATGATGATGATGATGATGATGATAATGACAATGGAGATGGTGACACTGACAAAGACGCCTATCTGTGTAAGACAACCACTTTTCTCCACGATAATGGGTGGCCGTCTTGGACAATTAATTGTAACTGATATCTTTATATTATTGAAGAGATTCGACCAGCGCGCCGAACAGACAGCCAGAAGGAAGGAACAGGCAGCATCGTCACTCGACACTGCCCCTTTCATTAGCAGTCAGTATGGCGATGACTGTCATTCCAGGATTGGGCTATAACCTCCCCCTTTAAAAAAAAGTTTTAGTAAGAATTTTACGGCACTTGCAACACAAACAGGTCATATTTAAAAGTCGAATATCAGAGGTGTTACAAGAGAATAACGTACCAAGGAAAGAAAAAGGAGAGATGTGGACGACATATGTTTGATAGAGGGAAAGGAGCAAACCACACCAGAGCATCCACCAACCATCCACAAACCCCAGGGAAATGCAGCTCAGAACTGTGATTAGCGCTTCTGCATACCACTGTATCAAGCCAAACGGAGGCCGAGAGAAAGAAATATATCTGAAGGCAAAGTTTGCCCTTGTAGACAGTTCCATAAATAGTATGAAATTGTTCAGCTGTGTTTAGTCAGAAAGACGCCGTCTAATTATTCGGATAAAATCCATCAGAAATTAGCATACACGAATCATAGTTATTGATCTTTTATTAGACTATCCTTGGTATCTGGCGCGACAGGTCATACGGACGAGGTCCATGTCTGTTCTCCACAATCACGAACGTGATAATTCTAACCCAGGATGTTTCAGTGTAGTGCCATCGATTCAAAAGATCAAAGTCGTTCTTGAACTCCTCCGTTGAGGTTAAAGCTTTGTAGCAGGGTGACTTACGTCATACCTATACATGTATCTATCAGAAGACTGATTATGTCTAGCACTGAAACATTTCATGTATGCGTGTGACTGGGAGTCTATCTGTGAGTGTAAGTATATATTATGAGTGTGCATATGTATTGAAGAGAGGCTATATGTATGCGCGAGAGTATGTACAGGTGCGCGTGTGTTTGTGTGTGTGGGTGGAGGGGGATGGGAGAAACACTTAACCGATGTACCAGTGTCTGGACAATAAAGATTTGGTTTTTCTTTTCACCATTAAAGATTTTCTTATTTAAAAAAAAAACATACTGAAAAAAGGAACTGTGGAATCACGTTCTAAACTGTATGCAAAGTTCATTCTCTAACGATTGGTCTTCTATGACGTGTTGTTCTAAAACAAGCCAAATAATCTCAAAAGTGAGAATTATATCAAAGAAAAACTGTCCTGTCTTTTGGAGTTTGGACGGTCGCCAAAAGGGTGCCTCATTTCTAATGTAAGGGGAAGAGAAGAACGGACTTGACAGTCATTTGCGTTCAGTGCAGAGAAGCACGTCGACAAAAAAAGCCATTTAGTGCAGGAGAAAAGGATGATAGATGAATACCAGTCCGTGGGAAAGAAATGAAGTAAGCCTACGACCTACGGACTCCCAAGCTATAATTGGTATCAACAGAATATTGTATTGAATAAACCCAAGCGAAGAAACCTTGACATAACACCGACGCGTTGCCAGGCAACCCGATCGAGGAACTATGGTCGGACTCCAAAAGGTTTGACGATCAAGAGAATCATTTTCCTGCAAAAAGTTGCAGTCCACATACCGACACCATGATAATATATTATTACATATTAAGATCTATGAGTAAGGTTAACTACTAATGAACAGTGAAAACAAACAAATAAAGTTGTGGACGCATCGATATTTCTAAGGGGTGGAGGGGGGGGGGTTGCGTTTCACTTTCAAAATGTAATGACATTCGGACTTTCGGTACCGACATTTGATTCTGTCTGCCCTTAAAATAACTGACAAAAGATGTCACAGTCTTAGTCTACTACAGAGAGACCTTGCACTAAACGAGACACTCGGTGAACTAATTATTGTTTGCGCTTGTGAGTGTTTTAACTTCTGCACTGCTGAGTAGACGTATGATCTGGCCTGTATTCTTTTTGTTTGTTTTGTTGGTGTTTTTTCTGGTAAGAGTTTTACACACTTGCAACAAAAAGGTCATGTAAGTGACGAAGATTAGAGGTGCTACAAGAGAGTAACAAACACAAAAAAATACAAGAGAATAATAGTACAATAGATGTTTGGTTGGAAAGAAGGAGCAAACCACATCGCAGCACCCGCAAACCACCCACTGTATTCTCCTCTCGCATTGCTTCGACTGGTTTACAAAGAAAAGTGTATAATATATATATATATATATATATAATATATATATATATATATACATGTATATATATATGTGTGTGTGTGTGTGTGTGTGTGTGTGTGTGTGTGAGTGTGTGTGTGTGTGTGTGTGTGGGTGGGTGTGTGTGTAGGTGAGTGTGTGTGCGTGAGTATATGTGTGTGTGTGTGCGTGTGTGTGTGTGCGTGAGTATATGTGTGTGTGCGTGTGTGTGTGTGTGTGTGTGAGTATATGTGTGTGTGCGTGTGTGTGTGTGTGTGTGTGTGTGTGTGTGTGTGTGTGTGTGTGTGCAGCTGGTGAAGTAGCTTTTTAAAGAAATAATTCTTTGAGTGTAAGTGTCACTTGAATGAACATTTTATCTTGTCTGTACAGACGTAGATGGAAACGTTCCAACCATGAAGATGTTCAAATGGCGCGCTAAACGTAACACGGGTACAATTTTTTTTAAAGCAAGGAAATTGGTTTCAAGATAGAGTTGAGTTGTACAAAACAGCGAGCCAGCGCTATACATTGCAACAGTTCCGTGGTCCCCAAAACAAGAAACTCGCTGAAGTAATGACAATAGAAAACGAGGTGAACGAAGCAAACCACACCAAAAGTACCAACCAACCATTCCACAAGCTTCAGGACTCCGGACTGAGCACCAACACCCTATGAAATGCGGCCAAAATAAATAAATAAATAAATGAATAAACAAACAAATAAATAAATAAATAAATGAATAAATAAATAAATAAATAAATACAACCTACATAGGACCCTATTGGATTCGAACCGTAGATAAATAAATAAATAAATAAATAAATAAATACAACCTACCATAGGACCCTATTGGATTCGAACCGCAACCTCTTCTATGACGGTCAAGTTTGTGTCTAACCGACCGGCAGTCAAACTTTCCCAACAGGGGTCAGCAGTAGTTATTCCTGGCTCAGACCGATCGA